GGGTACCTAGGGCTACACGTAGGTCGGTTACATCAAGGGATAAAAATGCCGATAATTCAAAAGTGTCTTGGAGTATGTGCCAAGTCTTTGAAGGATTTCATCTTGAGTATGTCGTGGGGCATGGCAAACGCGACCCACTTGTCGGTTGTCTGGGGTCCTCGGACCTAACCGATGATTGGGGCCCGACGTGGTTAGCACCCCCTATCCAGAACACCATCACCCGAGCGCGTCCGCGAGCAGCATCCAAGCAACCCTCAAATTTACACCTCATACTTCAATCCTTTAAACCATACAAAGCATGCAAAAGAAACATATACGTACTACGTAGATCAACTTGTACATGGGCAGCAGCGGCAATGCCGGCTCCTCCAGCTCCTCGGTGTTGGCCCCCGCCTCCTCCTCCACCTCCAATTCAGCAAAAGGCATGTTGGTCACCGCCCGTTCTTGCCGGATGAACCATCGGTTCACCTCGACATAGGCCTCATTCTGGCTGGATTCCAAGATGGCGATCTGCTATACCATTTCCGGCGCCTGAGCGACCTCGTACTTCACCATGGCGAAGCCAGCAACCGGCACCGGCTCTGCCGTTGCTTCCTCCTCCTCCTCCTCCTCCTCCTCCTCCTCCTCCTCCATGGGCTCCGGCTTTGGCTCGCTGCTCCCCCTCCTCCGTCTCCGAAGAATCTGGAGTCATGCCTGCTGCCAACGGGGCGGTGCGCCTAACCAAGATCTCCTCGAGCAGTTGGACACGCCACTCGGGTGTAAGCATAGCATAGCCCATCTTCTTCTGCCGGGCCATAGTGGAGATGGACGACGAGAAGGAGAGCGGGAGCGAATGTGGAGGGCGGCGAGAAGTTGATGGATGAGATCGGGCTGACGACATGGAGAGGGAGTGAACAGATGTGGCTAGGGCTCGGAGACGTCGTCCGGATTAAATAGCCGGGCCCTGGCCCTCTGGCGGCGATTCGGAGCGGCGTCGGGACATTCACACCCCACCGGATGAGATGCCCGCTGGACGACTATTGGGTTTCCGAGTGTTTACTTGTGGGACCCGACTGTCAGCACGATACGACCGGTCGCGCTCGGGCCGCCTCATATACGCCCTACATTTGGGATGGATATGAGGGGTGCCGGTATGCCCTGACGTTTAAGGCTAGTTTGAGGCGTATGGATGATTAGATTTTTGACAGGTGAGTGGTCGGGTCGACCGTCCCGGCGTTTGAGACCCGATTTTAATAAGGCGGCCGGGTAGATGATGCAAGTGCTTGAGTTCAGCGTCAGGCTGCAAGTGGGGCTACACATGGGAGTCCCACCTTTACCCCACTTGCTCCCAATATATTTAATGGGAATAACTTGACCATCCCATCACATGGGAGAAAGTGGGATCCCACTTCGCACATGTATGTAGACGTAAACACTAATTTAGCATCCATTAGTAATCTGTTACTTACACTCTTACACTCTCATATGCACGTAGACCGGACCGGCGGCACTCTGGCGCGTGCTTGACCAAGCGGCTCGTTAGCCGCTTCGATGGTAGTTCAGGAGCGGTCGCCGGTGCGTGCATGAGACACAAGGAGATGCCATGAGGTGCAGGTGCAGTCATGCCCTGGTGCCTGCAGCCGTGGTGCTCTCCATTGTCAGGACCGTGCTCCTCCGCCACACCTCGGCCCTGCCTCGGGCGAGCATGGGAGCTTCGTCCCCCATGTCCTTCATCTTCGCGGAGCCGAGGAGGTGGTCAACTGTGGCGCTCGGAGGTGCGCGGCTGTGGCGAGGAGCTGGAGCCTGGGCCATGGGAAGCCGTAGCCAGGCAACTCGCGAGGCGCCGGTACAAGCAACTGAAGATGCTGGAGTCTGAAGCACCGGTACAAGCAACGGAAGATGCTGGAGTCCGAAGTATAACCTGTTGCATGCATACTTTGTTTCAGGTTCCTGTTAACTGAATACT